CACAACAGTCCATTTCTAATACCCTTAAACTGTTCAGAAAATATCCAATTTAAATCACAAAACGTGACCCCCGAAAGGTTTTCTGCAACACTACATTTTGTTAATTGCCTTTTCTTTTTATGAAATGTTTCTTTCTCTATTTCTGGATGTCTATATTATTATTATTATTATTATTATTAATGTTATTATTATTTAGAACGGACACCTTGGCTCAGTCTGTGAGCAGAGCGTGTACTTTCTGCATCCCTTTTTTTGTACATTATTGTCTAGCACTGCGCCTGGCATTGGCCACTAGGTGCGACTCGATCTCAGGTCAAAGTTAAGGCTTTGCTTTCTCCACACATTCTCACAACATCATCCTGTACTTGCTTCACCATTTCCTCCTCCTTTCCTGCTCCTGATCATCATGACCCCCCCCCCCCCCCCCCCCCCCCCCTTCTGAAGTCAGGATAAGTTCCAGTATACGAGATATTTACCAGATCTGGTATTTTAACCCATCCACGTCCTGCCTCGTTTTTTTCCGAATAGATAGGGCTAAATTAAGTTGTCTCGTTTGCCTTAATATATGCCAACCATCTTTTAACCGTTTCACTTCTACTCCCTCCTCTAGCTCAGTGTTCCCTCTGCTGATTTCCTTTCTTCAGACTTATTGTTTAATCTTCACGACGACTGCTTCTTAAAACCAAATAAAGGATGGGTTAAAATCCAGGGAAGGGAACGCATTTCAATGTCACAAATGGCTGAATACTGAAAGTGTTTTGAAGGATTTCTGCTCATGTTACCTGGTGATTCCCCTTCCCCTTCTTTTATTTTATTTTTTTCTGTAGAAATGTTATTTATTTCTTCTTCTTTTCTTTTTTTTTTCCTTTTGTGATATCAGTTTAAATCACTGTATAAATGCCCCATGATTCAGTATAAAGTTGGATTTTTTTGTATGCATTTTCTTTGGTGTCATGACTGGGGGACTTAAAACCTTTTCTTTTTTCCCCCCCTTTAAGTATATCTACCTCACTCTTTTTAAATATATGTATGCGTATGGAAAACAAATACATCTCACTCTTTCTCGTTTTTTTTTTAAAACCCCACAGGGATCTAGATAAACCTCACGAAGCGGACTAACACAGGAGATGGAATGGAAGTGTTGTTAAGTTACCCCGGCCATTTCTGGCCCAGCGGGTTAAAGCTTTTAGAAAAAAAAGGCCCGCGCGTTTGCTCAAATTGAACAGCAGCCGTTAGTACGGTGTAGTTTTGCTCTCAGTGTTAAATGTAAATGAGTATTTATGTGAGGACATCGATCTACACTGTATTTTAACCGAGGCAGGTGCAGTACGTGATAAGACAGGAGGCCAGGGCTCAACACCACACATTCCATCTCCAAACATAAATGTCACAACCTCAAATCCTCAAAAGACAAAAACTTTTAATTTTTCCTCTTCTAAAATGCTTTTATATAAAAGTCTAAAATAAAAAATGTATATACATACATATATATATATAGATAGATATAAAACGGGAAATATTTAAAAAGGGAAACTTTTTCATCACCTCCAATAAAACAATTTGACCTGCAGCCTGTGATGCTGCGAGCATACGGTGCAACTCCACCTCTCACTTTATTCCAAGCAAACAGATGGCATTCACTTTTTCAGAACAACAACAACAAAAACTAGATAGTTGTGAACTTTCCATAATATGGGGAAAGCAGCCTCCTACGTATTTCTAACTTCTGTAGGAACCCCTAAATCAATGATTTCCACGTTGGAATCACAAGAGCAGTAAAACAGTGTCATTTTCTACCCTTATAAACTCTTCGTGGTTATGTGAATGTCATCATCCCCCTTCCCCTTCCTTCCCAGTCTACCTGCTGAATGCCAAGACATTCTGACCCCAGCGTTCATTTCCACTCCCGTTATCGGTGCCACTCCCTCACTGTCCGTTCAGAGTTGTTTTGCTCTATCAAAAGTCAAGTCTGCAACCCCCGTTTTTTTTGTCTGGCCCGTTGTAACTGATACTTACAGTAATGCTGCTGGTTCAGTCACCTCAGTAGATCTTATTTTGTCACCACAAAATAGGAGGGGAAAAAAGAGAGAGAACAAGCATGAAAAGGTGGCAAAGTAGCTTTTACATCTCAAAGCGTCTCATTAAAAAACAAAAACAAAAGAAACCTCAGTGCTACTTTTTAACTCGCAGTGGCTACTTGGCGAGCGTTAACTCAGTGCAAGGGCTGATGGGCTGGGAACATTAGATAATTTGCATTTATATGAATACCCAAAAGCAATAAGAAAAGAAAATGGGATCACAGATAGGCAACCAGGTAACTTCTAATGTGAAATTTGGGTGCTCAATTAAAGTTCTTGGTAAATAAAAAAAATAGATAAAACTGTCCGATTGCTGTTTAATATCACAACGGTTTAAAAATCACCACTGACAAGCAAACAGCTTAGGTAGTTACTTAACATATCTATGCATTTCTGTTTTTTTGCTGTATTATGGTATATGTCAACTTTCCAGTTCTGAGAGTAGACACTGATCTGTTCTGAGGTGAATAGCTGTTGAATAACTAGTTACCATTAGATCACGAACCTGTCAAAGCTTACAACATTTACAATGAACTCGTGGACATGTATAGGACAGGGATGTTGCGTAGATTTACGGGTAGTCACGGTGAAGAGTAATCATGGTTAGAAAAAGACGATAGTTTACAGCTTCACGCGATACTTTTTTTTTTTTTTTGCGTTACCTTAGGCTTAAACAGCATAAATATACACTACAGTTTAGTCGTCTGTCAACATTTCAATTCTTCAGAATGTTCTTCATGCAAATGTCAGGTTTATGGAGAATGCATCAGTGCATTTAAACTGCAATAAGTTTGAGGTTCATCATCGTCATCATCATCATCCTGCGCCTCTGTTTTTAATGATTTGCATTCCTGTACCTTCTGAGGGGCCTTGGTCTACTACTACTATTATTTTATTATGATGCTTTCACAAAATCTGTGTGTTCATTAGATTGGGGAAAGAAATAATCAAAACGAAAAATCACTAGACTGTCTTCTTTCAAGCTCTATATCTGAGGCCTCAAAGTTTTTCACACCTATAGCTGAGATGGTGTATTTTTTAAAACACCTTCTCTGAATATGTATCTGAGAATTTCTTGTATTTTCTTTCTCTTTTTTTTTTTGCTGAAATTTTGAATAAATAAATGAATGAGAACTACGAATGCCTGCTATATTTAATTTTCCATTCACACCAATCAGTGGGTATCTGCTATGGATCACGATCTACCTCATTGACACAAAAGGGGGATCTCTTGTTTTTGAATGCTCCTCCAGCTGTTCCAGGATCTTCTGAATGAGGGCTTGCAGCAGAGGCACCAGTCTGTCAGCTGAGGCCAAGGTACCAGATGTGGGTACATGGATGAGGGCTGCTCTCCCCTGACCGTGATACAATGAGCAGTAATATGCAAAATCGCACAGGTACCTAAAAAGAAGAAATCAGCCATTATCTCATATTCAAGAGTGAATCTTGATCGTGCTGGAACACTTGCCTACCTGCCAGCATCTCTTGAATAAACTACATTCATCCCTGCTTGTCTGAAGTGCTTTGAGACTGCCCTCATGTTAATGACTGACTCCAGCTTCTGTGCCCCCCCTTCGACGCAGCAGCGAGTCTCCGGACAGTAGCCGCAGACATCTCGGTCTCTGTAGCCAGTGTTCTTCCCCGTTTGCTCCAAAATCACCACACTGGAGCCTCTGGCCAAACCCAGATGTACAGCAAACTGAAGTAAATGCACACAAACACAAGAGTGAGTTATTCACCTTGTGGTGGGATTTCTTTATTATTTATTTTTCATATTTGGAAGAAGCACAATAAACATTTTGGAAATCTATTGACAGAATTAAGTTTTAAAATAATAAGGTGATCAGTCTACAAGTCACATTTCGCTTTATTTTTACCTTTGGGTTAAGAGTGTGCCAGAGCTCACCAATAACTTTCTGGGTTTTCAAGTAACTCACTGGTAACTCCCTCACATGGACGTCAACATTCTCCCCCAGTCCGATCAGTTTCAACCCCTGCAATCATTTTTCAAATGAGTTATTTTCAGACTCAGTCAGCCGGTGGCGTTGATCGTTATTACCTTGGCGGCTTCCCAGCTGGTGTTGGTCAAGAACTGTCGAAAAGGTCCAAAACCTTAAAAGTAAATCGAATTTGCCAATTCAAAATAAAAGTCGGTCCGGTGCGATTATGGAGGACATGAACATTTACAGTTTACCTGTAACGACCACAGTTTCGCTTTTATTCATAGCCGAACCGAGATTGCGGCGCCTGTAACGGCAGTTCAGGGATTTCATGCAAGGATACTAAAACGTAGATAGATTTTCTTTAGCTTTCGCTATTCGTTTACTGTCCGCTTGGGGGCGCTCATCTCTGATAAATGTGATGCCCCTGTGAGGGTGATGCATTCAGGTGTCTCAGGAAAGTTATGCCATCCACAAATCATATTGAACTTAAAACAGCGAGACAGACTAGCATTTGTACTCTCAATAACACTTGCAGGCAATTTAGAATCACCAAAAGTCACCAACCCCACTAAGTGCATGTCTTTGGAATATGGGAGGAATCTGGAGAGAACATGAACAAGACCTTCTTGCTGTGAGGAAACAGAGCTACCCACTGCGCCACTGTGTGTACGTTGTATTTATCCATATTAACTACTTTCTTGCACAATCTCAGTTTACCTTTTACTTTCCTTCAACTTAACCTTAAATCGCTGTTGGATATATTTAAAGTTCTTGCACTCTCACAGAATCAAGCCATCACTATGTTCTGCCTCTGGCACATTTACTTTAACTTGTGTTTATTTATTGTAGGATGTTCTATTTTTAAATATTTACCCTGGTGCTGTAACACAATAACTTCCCATGCAGGGTGAAGAATCTATCGGTCTATTATGGCAAGTAAACAACAAAGGCAAGCACTTCATTGAAAGAGTAAATCTTCTGAATTAAAAAGTATTAGGGTAAAAAAGATTCAATTAAAATTAAAAAAGCAAAATGAAAAAGCAAATTTACCAAATCTGCAAACTAGACGCTTACGACATCAGTGGGAATATATTTTAAGTGTAACACACATTCTAAATAATATATATTTATACATTCTAATATGGAGCTATATTATAGCTGCAGTTAAATGTAGACTGGCTTTTACATGTGGGAGAAAAAGCCAAAAGGTAAATGTAGCCAAAACCAATATACTGTGTTTAAACCTCAATTATTATCATTTTTTAACTCGTGTACGTTTCTTTTTAGCTTGTCCTTTCTTTTATTTATAGTTGCGGTGAGTTTAGCATTATAGTATTTCAGAGAGCACTTAAACGCAACATAACAACGGACAGGGACGGAGGGACACGCTCGGGACGCTGCTATGATGCAGCAAAGGACCCGCCCTCCTCCTCCTCCTGCACTTGTCAAAGGCCACCGATCACAAATTACATCACAGTCGCGCCCACGGACGAAGACGCAAATTGATGCCGGGAGAATCCGTCTCCTAAATAATAAATAAAATCACCGGACATTTTTCTCCATCTAACTTAACAGAGATAATTAGTTACCACAATGCTCCCTTTCAAGAGAACTTTTGAGAGCGAGAAGCACCAGCTGCAGGAGCTCAACAGCAGACTTACCCAGTATCTATCCAGAACCAAGCAGCTGGAGCAAGAAAACGCGCATCTCATTGCTGAAATAAATAAACTGAGACAGGTGAGGACTACCGGATGGGAAACTAAGTACAGGGCTGAGATGCAGGACCTGCGGAGAATGGTGGGGCAGCTGTCGTTTGAAAAGTCCCAGGCTGAGATGGAGAGGGAGAAGCTATGGCGGGAGTTGCAGATGATCCAGAGTCTGTGCAGCGAGCAGACCGATGTGTGCCGGGACGTCAGCGGCGAACTAAAGAACTGCGAGCAGGAGCTTCATCACGCTCACAAAACCAACAGCGAACTCCAGCAGCGGCTGCTGCAACTAGAGAACGAGTATAAACGCTTAGAGGATGCACACAGGGAAGAAGTGAGCCGCATTTGCAGTCAGGTGGAGTCCCGAGTGGCACCCATCATCAGGCAAACTTATCGTGGGCCTCCGGTGGTCTCCGTGGAAGAGGTGCAGGAGTATGCCCACGGTATGTCCGAAGGATGGATTCAGACCTTCGAAATGTACCAGAAGACGGTAGAAGACATGGAGCAGTCAATTAAAGCGGACCAGGCAATGCTGAACGACATGCAGAGGGAAAAGATGCTGTATGCGTCCGAGTTGGACAAATTACGCACGGAAGCGGAAAAACAAGGGCAGATTCAAATGCGACTTGAGGAGCAACTGATGCACATGCAGGAAAAATTCCGTGTGGACTACAGTCAGTATCAGGTAAGGACGAATTAATTGTGCTACAGTAGAAGAAATGTTTAATTTGGCATTGTTTGGTTCGTTTTTATCAACAAACAAACAAACGAAAAACCACTTTCAGTAAACCCCGCAAAATAAGCTCTAATTTTGGAGACGGGGGAGCGGCTTGTCCCTTGCTGCCCTGCCACACCCACTGTCCTTAAAGGTACTCATGCAGCTGCAGCTCACAGTGGCTGCTACAAATGTTTTCGATCTTTCTAATAATGTGAAATTTACATTCACATTCACATTCCAATAATGTGAAATTTATTTATATATATATATATATATATATATATATATATATATATACTGCACCATTCTGGCGTCTGTACCAAAACGCTACACAATAAATAAGGAGGGGTCATTATTCAACAGTGAGCAAGGCCTGTCAAGTTTATGTACCCATAACTAAAAAATATGGATTGTGCACAACATTTGACGTCAGTATACCAGGACAGCATAGCTCCATTAGCTGGACAAACGCTATACTTCCGCCCTAGTACCGTCCAACTGCTAGATTACACCAGCCACTTAAACCAATTAGCTGTCAGACTGACAAATCCTTATTAGCCTGAAGATGCAGTCTAAAGCAGGCCAGTCAGTTACATACCACTTCTCTTTCCACCCACTGCAGGGCTGTCTTCAGTAAAGTCACACCAAATACATTCCTCTGTTTATCTGTATGTAAGGAAGGCAAATGTTAACATTACTGGAGAGGGTTTATGCACAATACACAAAGCACTACTTGAGAGGACACGCCTAAAAACTTCAAATCTGTTAAGAGCACTAAAAGCTGCCTTGAGATGAATTATGGTTTCCTGTTTTTGCTTTCCCCCCCCTACCATCAGATGACTATTGAACAGCTGGAGCATGAGAGGAATGTGATGGCTGATGTTATAGCACAAAAAATGAGAGAGCATCAGCAGCTTCTCCAGGTGAAGATGGATCTAGGAATGGAGGTTGCTACTTACAGGTGATGAAACCATTTAGTTTGTTCATTTTTTGTCTAAATAAATGAAATGGATATTTTATGTCACGTCAAGTATAAGTCTTTTCCCAGAAGCCATTTTTACTTGTGTTAGCATGAAAAGCACAGATGGCACGAATAAAAACACTATGAGAGACAATCAGCAGTCAGCGTTATGCAACTCTTCAGTAAGCCTTTATTATGTGATATGAACCATACCTGGGTGCTAGAACCACACCTGGGTGCTAGAACCACATAGGAGTATGTGTTTCACTGCTTCCCTTACTGTGAGGGGAAATGTCTTCCATAGAAGAAGTACATGTGGCATCTTAAATGTTTCAGAGACACGTTTAATACAAGGAAAAGCTGTCAGATGCTTTTTGCAAAGGTGTTTCTAACAGTCAGTCTACTTTAAAAAGTGTAAGCTACAACAATTTTGAAAGATTTTTGTGTTGTTCATGAAGAACTCCTTTGGGGAATGAGCGCATGTGAAAACAGAGACAGTACTGGTTATTTGTTTGGAATCATTATTTTTTTCTTTTCTTAAGAAACAATTGTAGAAAACATTTAAGAAACAATGGCTAAAATGCAGAAGCTTTCTTTATTCTGAGATATTTCTATGGTTTTGAAATCAGATTACTGATTAAACCAGCCCAAATACCTCTTCAAGTTAATCTTAACTCATTAACTTCATAATTTACATAAGGAGACATACTTTGCTTGCTCATTCCTGGTTTTGGCACTAATTGCTCAAATCTAAGATCTCAAACAAAAGTCATCTTAAGTAAAGGAGGACTGATTTTATAAGCAATAACTTGTCTTGTTATAGCACTCAGTGTGTTGGCTTCATGTTCATGACACAGGGAGATGCTAAGATCTCAAAGCTCTTTATAAAACAGTGGGTAAACACTGTACTGGAATGTTATATCAATGTACCCTTGACATATTATAACCTCTTGCCTCATATTGACCTACATTTAAACAGACTTATATCAAAGATGGTGATAGATATTAGCATTTTAGCTTTAGCTTGCCTCTATATGGCAGGCTCTCCACAGGCACAACTGGTTTGTTTTGAACTTTTGGAATAGACAGAATACCTTATTAGAGACGTGGCAGCGGCATTTGTTTTTGTATGTGTCACGTGTCCGTTTTTGCTCTGGGATTCACAGGGAAGCATAGACAGCCATGCTTTGTGGGCGTTATTTTTAGGCCAGTCTTTCGGAAGGCACTCTCCAGAGAAGTTGCTCGTTTCATTTGCTATTGTATGCCTGTTGAAGCATGGCCAAGGAAAGGTGAGCTGTTTCAAATACTAGTAATGCATCGATATTAAATGACGGTGGCTTATTTGAATTTTTAAGACTACTACCCTATATGGTCAGGTACAGCATTCATGCCTTCTCGTAAGCCAGTTGTGTTTAGTTTGAGAGGGTTGAAATGGCAGAGCTGAAGGATGTACACGATCCCATGAGGTACTTGTCTTTGATGTTTTGAAAATATTTGAGAAATTAACTTGAGTTAGGACCTTTTTGCCCCTGTCTTCATATGTAATTTGCCTTGTCTCTGTTTAGGGCTCTTCTGGAGGGTGAGCGAATCAGTCTGCAAGATGCTCATAAGCGAGTGAATCAACATGAAAGAGAAAGAATAATAGGTATGTTTCTCAGTTATTTTTATTGATGTGATAATGATGGGAAAACACTGCAAGACTGGTTTCTACTTGGATAAATCATATACACATTTATTAAGCAAAACTGAAAACAAAATGTCAATTCATCAAATAATTATTACTAATTACTTCTTTACTAATTACTTTTGACTCAGATATCAAAATGCCTGCCCGACGCTATACTCCAAGAGCTTCCACCTTAACCACCAAACAGCACATGGATGTAAGGTACATGCCATCGACTTCAAGCTTGAGAAGAGCCCCCATCCCTTCCTCTGGGTCCATAAGTCCGTCTAGGGTCATCCCTATTTCAGTTACAGGAAGAGCTCGCCATCAGAGTCCGGCATCCAGAAGGGATATGATCTCATTTAACAAAGCTCGGGCAGCTGCTTCTGCCTCTGCTACTACCATTACCACCACCAGCACTACAACCAAAGATAAGCAAGCAGGCCATAGTGAAAACCAAGTCAGTCGGAGTGTACCAAAAAGAACAGCAGAAGAGCAAACTGTGAAACTCATCTGGCTCCCACACACAGAGGGCCAGATGAGTCCTGACAAGTCTTCTACTCCTGATACCAAATCAGTAAGAGTGGTGTCACCATCAATGAAGAGCCTAGTTACGGAAACCGAGACAGAAAGCAAGAAGTATGTGTCAGATGAAAAAGAAAAAGGCCCCGTTGTCGACGGCAAGGTCAAAGACAAAGGAAGAACAGAGTTTACAATAGGCCCAGCTGAGAAAAAGATATTAGACTCTGTGTCTGTAGAAGAAATAATTGAGAAAGTGATAAAACCAGCAGGTTTGGAAGCCAAGGTCTGTTCAGCAGGAGATTCAAAAGTCAGATATCACGTGGAGAAAACTGAGCAGGAGGATGGCACGACTAAAACACAAATCGTGCTGGAGTCCAAAGTGGAGGAAGAGCTGGATGTTTCTCAGGACAATGCCCTGGAAGAACTGTTGAAACAAGGTGTGAAGAAAGTGTCACTAGAGGACATCAAGGACACAGCAACAGGAAGCATGGTCAAGAACCTGCTGAGTGGCTTGCAAGGAGGAGAGGACTTACAAAATAAGTCAGTCAATGTGGAAATCATCGAGGAACCAGTGGAGTCTTACAGTGATGAAGAACTTGAGGCTGAGCAGAAGTCCGGGTTGACTTTTCATGAGCCTTCTGCATATTTCGAAGTTGAGGAGCCAGAAAATATCCCTCATGGCATTCAAGGTAGCAGGGGGGATGATAATGTCATGAAATCCAACACAGATGAGTCAAAGTTTGGATCTGTACAAGTCCAAGAGGTCTCTAGAGAGAGTGAATATCCACATTTCTCCCATGATCAAGAGTCTCATGAGTATTTTGTCTCCACACCAGAGGAAAATCTTTCTGAATCTGAGGAGGGTGGCGGGATAACCTCATATGGCCATTATGGAATTGTAGATGACCTGTCGGATGAGAGGTATTATCAAGATGATGGCCTTCCCCAGAAAAAAGTGACTGTAAAAGAAAGTGATGAATATGAGTTTATGTCAGGTGACCGGTTGTTTGCCAAAGAGAGTTTTCCAGAGTGCATAATAGAAGAAGAGGTTCGGGTCTCACCTGTAGTGCAAGAGTCAGTGCTTGAGTACCTGAGAGAAGATTCTTTGGAGCCCAAAGAGCAGCTGAAAGGAGCTCTTGAGAAGCTACAAAGTTCAGTGTCGGGACCACTGAAAGAGGAGTTAGCTTTCCTCACCAGACTAAGTAGTGAAAGTCCAGAGAATGTAGCCGTCGGTGTCAAAAGAGTGGAACAGTCCATTGACAATGGAACCACGACTATAGTTGCAGAGCTAAATGTTTCTCAAACCCTGGAAGAATCTGGGCTGCTGGAAGGAGATGACCTATCTGAAGATCAGATCATGGCAGGACTCAAGTCTTCTAACATAGGGATCGAGAAAGCCTTCCAGAGTGGGGCGGGAGGAGGATACAGCATTAGAGTTTCCAGAGAAGATAATGTTGCTCATAGCGTGGAGTATGGTGACTTCAGCGACAAAGGAGAATCTGCATCTGAAATCAGTGAGAAACATTTTAAACTGGGGCCATCAGACAAGTCATTTTCCTTCCAGATGGATGTACACGGTGGCCATGACGAGGCTGCCTCAGAGCAAGAGCTGCAGCCTCCAGTCCTGGAGATGCCAGTGAAGATTTCACAGGAGAAAAGAATCGCAACAGTTTACCTTGAAAGCCCTTCTAATGACTAAGAACTAAATCTGATGATTTTTTTCAAATTGAATAATTGCCAGTGCATTACGGTATGTTTACTTAAACATACAAAGCATATACTAATGGTGATTGCAGGAACTGTATTCATGCTATTTTTCAAGTAAACAAGCGTACTTATAATCCATAAAACTAGATTACCTAAAACAGAGTACTAGCTATTTAGTTAAAAGTATCTGATTTTCATATATGAATTTTTCTTTTTGCCATTGACTGCAGAGATCCCATTACTGAAATACTCCATACTAACTACTGTGGGCTAGATTGTGTAAGGACTGAAACATCTACATATTGTAGCCATATTTAATGGTAGGCAATGCTGTGTGCTGTACTAGTATGCTTGGCTTTTCATAAGGTGCAGTTTGAATATCCTTGATTATTCTCTTTATAGTGCTTCATTTTGTACTAACCTACACTTAACAGCTTAAACAGCTCATTCTACAGTTTACAGCATATAATCCACCCAACCATCATGTCGTGGCTGTACTTGCCATGATGTTAAGTCTCCTTGGTCAGCATTTATTGCTCTCCGGGTTACAAGGTGCTGTGCACTGTTTGCAGAATAGGGCTTTAATTTTTTTATGTTTTGAGCACCTCTAGAAAATGGAATGATGTTAGTACACAGCACATGCTGGAACACAGTGGTTTATATTAACAAGTCATTGCTAACATGTGTTCAAGACTGTTGACCTTGTGACTGAGGATAATATCATGAGAGTTAAAAAAAAAAAGATCTATTTGCTTTAGAATTTGTCTTAACAAAGCACTTGTGAAGCTTAAAAGTGATTTCTTGGGGTTTCTAGGGACGGCGCAGTGGTTAGCACTGTTGCCTCACAGCAAGAAGGTCCAGATTTCAACTCCACCATCTGGCTGGGGACTGTCTATGTGGAGTTGGTTAGGTTAACTGATGATTCTAAATTGCCCATAGGTGTAAATGTGTAACTGTCCAATGTGTATCCCGCCACTCGCCCTATGACATCAGGGATAGGCTCCAGCACCCCCAAGGGAGAAGCATGTTTTTAAAAAATAAAACAAAAAGTCTATTTTAACATGTGCCAAACATTTGTAAATTGCAAACAGTTAAGATTTTGTTTTGAGCATATAATTGGGGGTAACACTGCATTTGGAATTCTAAATGGTCCCATTTAGAATTCCAAACATGGCTGTCAAGTTGAAAACAATATCCAGATAAAACAATTAAAGTAGCAGCAGAGGTGTTTTGCATTAAAAGGATGTTGCAGTGATGAAAAAGTAATCACACATAGGTTTGATCTTTGTCATGTATAGCACTTATGGCTTGTCCACAGCTGTTGGCTTTCAGTGTTGGCTCGAAGGATTCAACTTTGCTCTGACCTACGAGTGTGTTTATAACCGCACCTATTTTTGGATCATCAGCTTAGCATTGAGTGTTGACTAGAGTTTGTTGTGTTGTGTATGCGTTACAAAGACAGAAATGAAATAGCATGTGTACCGTCTGGTTATTTTTTTTTGCTTATTTTCTCTAACAGCAGCTGTATAATTTACTTCTAACTACTGAAAAGTCTTTGCAAGTCAACTTTCTGGTATGATGGTAAAGCAATCCAAAAATACAACATCTGGCATGAATGCCATGCTTTTACAAATAAAATAAATTAGAAGTCATTAGCAATCTACAAAAAGAACCCTTCATTTCATGGATTTGTTGTGATTTACTCTTTAAACTCAAACACTACTATATGAGTGCACTAAAGTGTTTGTTATTAATCTTTATGCGGTTATTATCTCATTAGTGAATGAGTGACTAATACAGTGTTTAATAAAGGTCAAATGGAGAGACTGAAATCATTGATTTATTCTGAATTCTTTTGAGACCATTGCTTATATTGGTATTAATTCCAGTCCTTAGATGAAAATTGCCCCAATATTATAACATCATTAAAAAATATTATGTGTATGTTTTGTTTGAGTATTTATTTAGACTTTACTTTCTTCACCTAAAGTGCAAATTGACAAAAAATCAAGTACTGCCAGATGACGAAAACCATTTAGTTACAAAAACCATCATGACGGAATATCAACCGTTGGCTTAAACTTTAAACCACACTGAAAACAAACAAAACAAGTGTGTTCAGTTATGAAGTTTTAATTATTACCACTGGATGGTACAAGTGAAAAGATTAGAGATCGTTTTCCTTTTACCTTTCTTCTCAGCCACCTCTGGTGCCCTGAGAAACATAGAGGACACAGTTGCTTTACTAAAACATGAAACATGAGCTGCATTCTTATAAGTGTCTGTTAGGTTTTACCCTAATGTAATCATATTATCAAAAAGAAATAAATGGTAAGTGTTGACTGGTGAGGCCTGTCAGATTTCTTAACATAAGAACACTGTGATTATTTCACAAATTTACCTAGCCAGCATGTCCACAGCTTTTTTTTTTTTTTTACTGCTTTGGTCTTGTGCTGACGCCCATACAAGGATCTCTGGATTTCAGGCACTACATACGGGAAAAAAGATAGCTGAGGAGAGTGGTCAATGGAAGATAAGTGTTGAAACTCAAACTCGGAGGGGAAGCGCCACTTCCTAGCAACATGTGAACGCACTAAACATACCAAAATAACCACTGTAGCTGCCCAAGGTTTAGATAACACCTGTGCCAACTGCCCAGAGTGTCAGATCAACAAGCAGGATTTGATTTATTATGAAGACCCATCAGCAATCTGCTGTAAAATAAAGACTCGGTATGAGCCAGTTGTTGTTCTCTATATAGTATAATTATGAGAGCGAAATAAGCAACTTCATAAGAGACTGTTATGTAAGTCCCCCACCCAAAAAAAAACAAATCAAAACCTTCATCAGGAAACACGTATATGATTACACAATGTGCCCACACAAAGTGACACAGCAGACATGATGAATGGCTGTCAGCCATTTCTAGAATCACCATAAATAACAGTTGAAGAGGGCTTTATTAAAGCAGGGAAACGAAGAGTGAAAAGTTACCGTCCTCACCAGGGAAAGTGAAACACTGCTAATCTGGAACAGATCCATTTGGCCTCCTGAATGTTTTCACTGTTGCTAAGGTTGATGTAATGGAAGGCCCTTTTTTTCAGCTGCACTTCAGAGGAAGGGGGAAAATGTCAAAAGCGTAGCTGTATGTGGGCTATTGTTCTCTTTGTTTTTAAAACTTCTTATGCATTGTATCTGCTACACAAGCCGGCTTAACTTCGGAAAAGAAAAAGTTACTCATTTTGAGTGATGTCATGAGGAAAGCAGTGAAAATAAACACTCCGGGCATATCTGCTCTCTGTCAGAAAGTTTACCACTTGAACGGCGAACAGAGAAGAGTGAGCCCTGGTGTTCCATGTCATACTTGGACCCCGACTCTGCACTTTAACAGCAATAACACAGCAACATAGCAACCAGGCTCCTTCACTTAGAGGCATGTCATTACTAGTGTGGAGCAATCCCCCCTTTCCTGGTATATTTTAGTACCAGTGTTCTGTTGCTGGTAGAACTGAGCTCATGTGGCAAATAATATACAGCATGTTAAAAAAAAAACTCATTACATAAGGAATAAAGAAAACCTGTAAGAGCTATGAAAAGAGAAATTGAATTAAATGAACTAAAGAGCTGCTGTTTATTCAGTGCTTGTGTGGTGATTGACACAGAAATGCCACTTTTGTTTCAAAGGACATAAAGACATACCGCAGTAATTGGGGTCAGCCTCCTATTAATTGAAAACAGTTAGCAAACTGTAATTTCCTTCCCAAAAGTGTTGCCCATCTGTCAGACTCCATCCAAACCAAAGAAGCACAAAGTCACTCTTCAGGATATTTTACACCAGAGAGAGCAGAGCCCCTTCCAAGATTAGCATGCAACTCTGATAACGTTGAGCTCTAGAGGGATGGTGGAAATAGCTCAACTCAAAATGACTAGATATTCTGAAATGACCTCTCGCCTTCTTACTGTCAGAGGTGACGACAACTACTGACCTTTTATTAAAATTCTATGATGTCATGTTCAATGACAGTAAGTAGTCCTCTGTCAGCATTACACCTACACAGGTGTTAACCAAGACAAATATGTGCTCTGTAACACATGATTATTGTTAGTGTCCTGTAAGCCTGGCTTATTCTGCCCTTGGGCATCTCCACTCATCCAATCAGCTGAAGGGTATCGGCTACCTCAGCAAGTCATACAAATCTTTTAAAATCAAGAGAGGTTCTCTGGATCTCTGCACATTTCTACAGTGGTACAACAGGTAAATAACTTCTTATTTCCTACTTTATCTCCGGATAAAGCAAGTAAATAATGAAACTTTAAGGGGATTCATCCTTTTAAACTTTTGTATGACGTTCTGTGCCTCAAAATAATCTTATGGAAATCTGGCTGTCTTATAGAGATCGTAGTTTGTGAGTGGACGTAACCTGTTTTTGTCTATTCTTTAGGCGAAAGTGACAGAAGTCATCCTGGGCAACAAGAAAAGCAGGATCCTGTGGACCTACAGAGTTCTTCTATGCTTTTAAAGTTTGATCAAATTAGTGACTTGCAGAATCTAAAACAGCAAAGGGGAAAACACACAGGCACACATAACACACACACATTTGACAATAACTGATTCTGAAAACTTGGCAGCACTAGCTAATACCTTCAATATGAGCACCTTAATAGTGAGATCAGTTGTTTGGGGTTGTAACTAAGAAATCCTTGTATTCTCTTTACAGTTTCCAGATGTTATGCTTTATATGACTACAGTAGAGAATAGATTGTCCATTGTTGACATTAGTGATACTGAGGTCTTCAAAAAGGCTACCATAAAGCTGGATTCTGTATTACACCATTTGACATATAGACAGTGGAATATTTAAGTCCCAATTAACTTCTCTGGCCCAGCCTGTATCTATGAATAGACTTACCATTGTGATGGGGTTCTGCTGCAACAGAAAGGATGAGAGCCAGGCTGTGGGAGATCTGAGCCCCCTCCAGCTCCTCTAGGCCATGACTCACAGCTATGGCATGAGCCTAACGGAAACATGCACATGAAAAAATGAGAAATCACATACTACCAAGTAAGAGCTGAAGCAAGACTGGCAAATAAGATCACTATCTCAGGAAGCCGTTGTGTTTGTATATGTTGTGCAGAAGAATTGTATATAATGTGCAAGTTGTGTTAACTTGAATCTGCTTGCCTTGGAAAGATGCTCTGTGGCCTTGGTCCTGTTTAATAGTGGCCATATCCCTATAGACAGAGCAGGTCCTCTCTGGATTACTACAGTCCATCAGCAGTTGCAGGGACTTCTGACACTGGCTTAAAGCTTTCTTTGGTTTGTTCTGTCTCTTATAGATTCTACAGAGAAAGACATGCAAATACTCAGATTGACAGAAAGTTACTCAATGTTCTCCTGAGTCTAAGTTTCATATGCATGCAGTCCTTGGTCATTTTGATTGCCCATACCATAAACCAACTATGTTAGGATATAATTAGGATGTTGAATTATATCCACAAGAAATCTGTGGTATGTCTTTCCATTATGGAACAATGATCTTCCTGGTATAGAACTGTGCAGGTGATAGGAGTACACTGAAGCCATTGCATCTTTGTGTCTGTATATTCTGTGTCTGGCATTGCACTTTGATTTCCATCTAGAAGATCATCAAAGCAAAGACTATTAGTAATAGTGCAATTATTAAACTGCCAGAAAATTAGTGTCTAGTATATAACCACAAACATTTTACTTTAATACTATGAGCCTGTTTAATAAGACTAAAGTACCTACAGGTTGTTTAACCTGGTTGAGGCCTTGCAGAGAGAAAAAAGAGCTTTGGCTGATGGTTCCAGTTGAGGCTTGGTGCAGTGCAGACAATAATAGGGAAATGTGCCTTTCCGACTCTTTTTGTTGCATCTATTCACAAGTTAAATGCAACACTGTTGGTAGCAATGCTAATTAAACTCTCATTTTAAGGATGTCTAAATAAGTGGAGATTCTTATAGCCTCAGTGGAAACTACACTTTCAGAACTGACAGAACAGGGTAGCTTGGAGGTTTAATATGTCTGTGAAGGTTCTCACAGGTTTAATGTGCGTATATACCATTGCAATGGTATATACCAATTTGTAACCCATTTGTTATTGTGTGCTTTTTTATTTTGCATGTTTGTTTGTTTGTTTTTTTATTGACATGTGGTCAGAAGTTATATACACTCACCACTGGCATGGATTTCATCGTAATTTTGGATTTTCAATTATTTCTTTGAGTTTTCAAGATGGAATAATTGCACAGCATACATCTTTCAATTACTTACAAAAAACAAGAATTGGATGCACAAGTCTGAAATAATTTTTGATTTTTTTCTAATTCACACAGAGTCAAAAGCATACATACAGGCTCAAATACAGGCTCTTCCTTCTCTCGCCCCAACCAGTAGCGGCAGATGGCTGCCCCCTCCCTAAGCCTCATTCTGCCAGAGGTTTCTTCCTGTTAAAAGGGAGTGTTTCCTTCCCACTGTTGCCAAAGTGCTTGCTCATAGGGTTTCATATTTCCCAAAAACCTGACGTCAACCTGTTGGGTACCAAAAGTGTCCAATCAAGGTGAAATTGTAGCCACAGCCGCCCTGGGGCGCGGCTGCTGGACACTGGCATCACCGGGCCCTCTGACCACCACCAGTAGGCAACAGGTGAAGTGTCTTGCCGAAGGACACAATAACCAAGACTGTCCGAGCTGGGGCTCGAACCGGCAACCTTCTGATTACAAGACAAACTGCCAACTCTTGAGCTACGATCGCCCCATAGTGGGGGGTGTATGTATAGATTTAATCCTGAATGTATACTTTTGACAATGTGCGGATGAATAAATTCAAACTTGTGTACCCATTTCTTGTTTTTAAAGTCGTGTCATTCCACCCTGTAAAAAGAACTGTTCAAAAATAATTAAAAGACCCAAAAAACCATGT